AGAAAGCGTTTATTGGCCTGAAGGAAGGAACAGAGGGGATCGGACCGGTAACTTATGGGCTTGGATCAAGGCCGGGGAAGGGGGCTTTGGGAACTTATAGATAGATAGGCTGTCGGCCCCACCTTGTGGATAAAATTCAAAAGAGAGGTCATGGCAGCTCGACATTTGTCGGAAGGACCCTCAGGATGAGTCCATTCCTCTAGGCTGGTGACATCTGGTAGTACGTGCTTCCGTCTAATCTCTTCCAACTCTGGGCAAGCCCAAAGGAGGTAGTACTGGTCGACAGGAGTAACGGGGTCGTTACAGAAAATGCAGTGGGATGCTGTGGGTCGCGTAGACCAATTTGCCGGTTAAGCTGCTCCGCATACTTGCGAGCTGCTATAGTGGCTCGGGTGACCTCCCTCGGAGCTCTCGCATGTTTCGGGCCTTTTCTGTAGCGGTGTAGCGCTCTCAGCCGCCGGGCCCAGAGGTTCAACAGATGAAGTTCGGGGGTGGGGTCATGGAGCTTTACTTGTTTTTTGGTGGTTTCAACCACGACGGTTTCCTTGATGGCGTCGCAGAGAGTGGGTGCCTTGCTGTTTTTGACTCCCCTGTCATGAATCGTGCTTCATTTTTCCTTTCTTCACTTAATATACCAGAGTTGTGGGTACGCGGCTGACTGTGTTCCGTGTTCCTTCCTCGTTTGCCGGGGGAATCGGTGGCTGAGTAGTCTCGCGCACACCAGCTCGGAGCACGTGGAGCGAATGCTCGCGCTGCAGAACACAGTATCCTGGGTTCAATCCCCGCCCCTGGGGGGGATCGGTGGCCGAGTGGTCTAGCGCACACCAGCTCGGAGCACGTGGAGCGAAAGCTCGCGCTGCAGAACCCAGGGATCCTGGGTTCGAGCCCCACCCCTGCCCGTCTCGATCTGGATGAGCATCGTACCGGCGTGCGGTCGTGTATCACTACTGCGTGATGCACGTTAAAGACCCCAGGCTAGCGGCTGTACCGCACTGGCTAAATTTCTCATCTACAGCTGGGAGACTCGTCGCCCTTGTGAGGCAGACCAAGTTCTAGGCTGTATAAACACACACACAACCCAATTTTTTCCCCGCCCCTGCCCGTTTCGATCTAGATCAGCGTCGTGCCGGCGTGCGGTTGTGTATCACTACTGCGTGGTGCACGTTAAAGACCCCAGGTTAGCGGTCGTACCGCACTGGTTAAATTGCTGATCTACAGCTGAGACACCAGACGCCCATTAAGCCAGACTGACTTTCGGCTGTATACGCATGGACACAACAATTTGCTTTTGTTTCTCGTTGGTCATTGTCTCTTTGTGCGCGATTTTTCATCATGTCGTATGGAGATGCCGATGCAGTTGGTAAACCTCCCAGTTCTCGTGCACCTTGCCATGAATAAACAAGAGCACGCCTCCCCTAAATTCGATTTGGGTCTCGAGCCGAATACTATGCCGCCAACGTTAATCGTAGCCACGCGTTGGGGTTGGCAAAATAGAAAACTTGTGTTTAGCTCCAGGCATTGTTAGAGTTCGGCTATTCTCATCACCGCAGTAGGTGGACACGAGCCACTCCTCGAGTATCCGCCGAGACATTGATTGTTATGAGCCAAAGCCGAGTGCTAACGCAGTTCTCGTGTCCAGTCATTAGGGAGTTTTAGAATAACGTACGCAATTTTAGCGCACGCTAGCTCTAAATTTAGCGCTTGTATTAGCGCACGCGACGCGAAAGAGTTTTAGAATAGCGTTTCTCCGGTCGCGACGCAAAAGGCCAATCATCTCGCGCTTGCGACGCCACCAAGACACAGTCACAATTTTTATTTCACACACTAAATGCTGTAACTTAAGAAAAAAAAGTTTTCTGGTCCAGAGTATCATTTTAGATTTATTTAAACGTGAGAATGCGACGCGAGCGGTTGTCCGGTCGTGTCCGCTTACGTCGCCTCGGCAAGAGAGGTCTCGAGTACTGACCTTCGCACATCGTACCTTCGCCGAGAAATGTTCGCGCGTCACAAGCATCAAGCTGTCGGTGATCGTTGGGAAACCGAGTACAATGCCGTCCCGTATTGAAAATCGCAGCCCCGAGGATGCCGCCGACGTCGCACTCACGACGTCGCCAAAGCAGCCGCTGACATAATCCTGGAAGCCGCCATCTTTTTTTAACTCTGCTCGTCTTGGCTTTAGCCAACTTCTCATCACGAATCCACCTTGGAGAAGCGCAAAGAATCTTTGCGCTTCTCCAAGGAGGATTCGTGATGAGAAGTTGGCTAAAGCCAAGACGAGAAGAGTTAAAAAAAATGGCGGCTTCTAGGATTATGTCGGCGGCTGCTTTGGCGGCGTCGTGAGTGCGACGTCGGCGGCATCCTCGCGACTGCAATTTTCAATACAGGACGACATTGTACTCGGTTTGGTAGTAATCACCGGCAACTTGATGCTTGCGACGCGCGAACATTTCACGGCGAAGGAACGATGTGCGAAGGTCAGTACACGAGACCTCTCTTGCCGAGGCGACGCAAGCGGAGATGACCGGTCAACCGCTCGCGTCGTGTTCTCATGTTTAAACAAATTAAAATGCTACTCTGGACCAAAAAACTCGTTTTCTTTTACAGTTACCTCATTTCGTGTGTGAAATAACAATTTGACTGTATCTTGGTGGCGTCGCAAGCGCGAGATGCTTCGGCTTTTGCGTCGCGGCGGAGAAACGCTATTCTAAAACTCCCCTGCGTCGCGTGCGCTAATACAAGCGCTAAATTTAGCGCTAGCGTGCGCTAAAATTGCGTACGTTATTCTAAAACTCCCTATGGACTCTAACGCGGCGTAGGAATGTAGGGACACTCGGGCGAGATGTCAATGCAGCCGTTCAATCGGCTGGCACCAGGGTGATGCTCGCACACGCTTCGATGGAGCTCGCTACGACTTTGTGTTTTACATTCTCGCTGGAATTTGAGCACCGAGAGAGCTTGGATGATTGACACCTTGCTCGGCTTGACGTCAGCGTCGCGAGAGTTTAATTAGCGCGTTCGCAACTTTCGGACACAAAGTTGTGCTCGACGAGTTTAGCTACCCAGAGCTTCGCCCCAATCAACGTTATTCACCACGTGGAGATACGGTTCTTTCTTTTTTGCCCTACACAAGCACGGGAGCACGTGCTCACGTGCTCGTGACCCGACGGCGACGAACATATGGACATGGCTAGCCCCTAAGAAGCTTCGCCCTTAAAAAACAATGCAGGTTTATTTTGACTAACTGGAGATTTTTTGATGTGCAGTCGAAATCTTAGATTGGCCTCTGTCAGATTGCGAGCACAAATATGGATTCACGAGCCAGCGCGTTGGCTCAGAGACACTGAGACGTTTTAATGTTTTGTGTTTTGTTTTAATATCATTGCCACTTAAGAGCCACCGAGGTGGTTTTTGATACAAAATATAGTCGAACCATTCCGACAAACACAGTGGCGGGATGGTTAGCATACGTGGCGGAATCCGAAATGGCTTAATCTCTTTCATGGCGCCTATTTCATTTAGATCGAGTCAGGCATGTGTAACACCGTGGTACCGGCGCACAGTATAACGCGCGCAAAAGCAGCTGTGGTGCACCCGCAGCCTCGCGCTTGTTGTTCTGGCACCTCTGGCTCGCGCTCACTGCGGGCATCCAGGCATCTGACACCCTGACATCTGGTGCTTTTTCTGCCTTTCATCTGGCGTTCCAAAAGGCACACGACAAAAAATGCACATCAAGTTGTTCTTGAACACCTGTCTCCATCTGTATTTTATATTAAGAAACTGCAATTCGCTGTAACTGAATGGGAAACGTTTGAGGCCTGATAACATTCTTAACGTGTAATATATCAACATGGAAGTTCTGGAATATATAAACATTAGCGAGTTTTAGTAGACCGTGTTTCCCGCTCCGCTGAGCCCCTCCGCTACCCGGAACTCTACAGCCAAGGCCATCGGCGCGCAGGCGCACTGGCGGTTTCTTCGTAGCGGAGGGCTAGCGGAGCGGGAAACACGGTCTACTAAAACTCCCTATTGAGTTCTGTTTTTACATCGTTTTACATTGTAGAGGCTTGCAGCGACAGCATCGTCTTCCCCGCAACACGCTCCCTCGAGCCGTGGAGGAGGCTAGCACCCACCGGGGATACCCGACACCAGCTCGGGGGCCCGGTTGCGGGCCAGACGGCCAGACCTCCGTGAGGGTAGACGAAACAACTTAAGTCGCACCCACGGCAAGAGAGGAGAAGAGGGCAGACGGCTTGCGTGCAGCGCCCGGTTAGGACGCAGGAACATTCCTCGTAGTTTGAATGTCATTATTCTTGTGTATAGTCCCTCAGAAAAATAAAACGAGTTCAGTAGAACGTTATTTGAATCAACATTGGTGACCCGGACAAACTAAAAAGCCGACCTCAAGCGCTGCGATGAATCAAGATGAAGAGAATGCTTCTGCCAACTCCTCAACCCCGGCGCCCCCTGCGGAAGGCGTCTCCGTCGTCGCCCTCAAGCTCCCACCGTACTGGCCTCCGGATCCCGATCTGTGGTTTCTACAAGTGGAAGCGCAGTTCGCAACTCGGAAGATCACCACTGATCGCACCAAGTATCATCACATCGTGGCCAGCCTTCTGTAGTATTTCTGATCAAGCGGCGGCCAGGGGCCCGTCGTTGAAGCTCAAAGAAGGAATGACACCCGCCGGCTGCTGGTCATGGTCTCTGAGTCTCGAGCACCCCGAGCGCGGGTGCCCGGCCCTGTTTATTTCACGCGCGGCATCGGCTTCTTTCTCAGTGTCGGCATTATGGACTATATACAAATACTACATATTCTCTCCCTCCCTTGACAGAAAAAAAAAACAGAAAAAAAAGAGGAAAATGCCACATAGCATGTTATCTCCTTCCCTTCACAAAAGAAAAAAAAAAACAAGAAAGGGAAAAAATACCACTACTTCTTGAAAAAAAAAAGATTGCTCTTCACACTGCACCAAAAGTTTCGAGAAAAGAAAAAAAAATTAGTCCAAAGATTCAAATGTCCATGATTTCATGAGATGTGGATGATGGGCTCATGTCCAAGATATTCATGACATAGTCTTTAAATCGTTCTGGTAAACGTATATGACGTCTTGGGCGTCCTTCTACTTGAAATGTCAATGGTAGAGGTGTTGAAACAGGCGTGGCGAAGCCCGATTCAGTAGGCGTGCTTGCAGTCAGGTGTGGTGGCGATGAGCATGATGGTGCACCAAAAACAGCATCCGCGGTGGACGCGGCAATTGTATTAGGCGTAGCTGAACCTTCGGGCTCAGGACCAGCACCCGAAACACAATCAGGCGCAGAATCAATTGGGGACTCATGCACTGGAGACGTAACGCCTGCATCGGAGTCCACAGAGGAGGGCCGTGCTGATCTGCCGCTTGAACTGGAGTCTGGCAAAGAGCTGCAGTACCCAAGTCCAAGCAGTGAAGAACTTGGACCATTAGATGAAACAGGAGTCGGGTTTGCAGGCCCAAGAAGGTGGCGAACAGCTCCGTCAATGCATGGCGGAGAAGCACGTGGCGGGGATGAGCCACGACCATGAACATCTGGCGCCATGAAGCCGAACCCAGTGGCACCAGGAACCTGAGTACGTGGAACCGCTGAACCAGGAACCTCAGGAACCCCACGAGGAGGGCAGCCAGGAACATTTACTGCAAGGGGTGAGGGAGATTGGGGGAAAATATTGTCCTCTAGAACCCAAGAATACTTCTTCGAAGGCTGCAGCGTTGTTCGAGTGAGCCTTTCAGCGTTCCACGTTGTTCCATCGTCGAGTTTGTATGTAGACGGACCAATCCTTTCACGGATCTCCTGCGGAGTTGAATATTTATGTCGCATTTTGCCTTTTCGTTTTGACTTGAAAATCTTTACAAAATCTCCAGGTGCAAAAGATGGAACCTTCACGGCTCTGCGTGAGTCAGAGTACTGCTTCATTTTTTTCTGATATACCTGGACCCTATTCGGTAACCCCTGTCGAACTTCAACCCGTGGGATTGAAGGCTCATTGGTATTCCTTCCTTGAAGGTGCAAACGTGTACGATGATTGCGACCATGTAAGAGAAAAGCTGGGGTTTCTCCCGTGGCAGTATGGCGTGTGCTTCTATATACACCAAGATACTCAATGATTGTGTCGTATATAGAACGCTGTTGTACAAGGGCCAACTGAATAGTAGATTTCAGAACTTTGTTAAATCTTTCCACTTGACCATTCGCTTGCGGGTGGCATAACGCAGATTTGGTGTGTTTTATTCCATTTGTCTCGAGGAACTGTGAAAATTCCCTTGAAGTAAATTGAGGTCCGTTATCGCTGGTAATCTCCTGGGGTAGTCCCTCACGAGAAAAAATTGACTTCAGGAAACTGATGACCGAACCAGTCGTGACACTGGAGACAGCTGCCACTTCCGGCCATTTGCTGTGGTAATCCACTACAGTGATGAAAAATCGTTCCTTGGCAGGTGCCTGCTCGAATGGGCCGACGATATCTATGCCAAGCTTGGTCCAAGGATGTAATGGAAACTCTACCGGCTGCAGAGGCGCGGGAGATGACTTAGCTGGCTTGTCGGTCGCTTGGCAGACTGTGCAATGCTGTACGTAGTCCTTAATTTGCATGGAGATGTGAGGCCACCAGTAAAGTTCTTTAATAAGGCTTGTGGTCCTCGAAATTCCTTGATGCGTTTCGTGACCAACCTCAATCACTTGATTCCGAAGGCTAGATGGAACTACGATTTTCTCTCCTTGAAAGAGAAGTCCATCGATCACGGAAAGCTGCTCGCGAACGGAAAAGTATGACTTCAGCTCTGAAGACAGCTTGTTATGCTCTGGCCATGATGAAGAAATAAACGTCATAACTTGAGGGAGCACGGGATCTCTAGCAGTTGCTTCTTGGAAATCCTTCTGGTTAAGGCAAGCACAGATGATAGAAACGACCTCTTCTTTAAAAACTATGCCGTTCTCTGTATCTGATACTGGAAGGCGAGACAAAGCGTCTGCGACGAGATTGTTGCTGCCTTTCTGAAATTCCATGATAAAATTATAATTAAAAAGTCTGGCAACCCAACGGCTGATACGATGAGGCCGGACGCCAGTTCCTTGAGTTGTCATCAGGGTGACAAGTGCTTGATGGTCAGTACGGATGGTGAACTGCCGACCCCACAAATAAACATGCCATTTTTCACAAGCCCACAGTATTGCCAGAGCTTCCTTTTCGCCAGTAGAATACTTTCGTTCAGCCTCCGTGAGAGAACGGGACGCGAACGCAACGGTTTTCAGCTGTCGTCCGTGTTGTTGTTGGAGAACAGCCCCTAAACCGTAATTAGAGGCGTCGGTTGAGACTATGACAGGAATGGTAGGGTCGAACATAGAGAGTATTGGTGCCTGCTGAATGCAGGACTTGATATTTTTGAAACTAACAGCTACATCAGGGGACCAGACATAAGATACACCCTTGCGTAGAAGACGACGAAGGGGTTCAACGACCGTGGCACAATGTGGAAGAAACTTACTATAATACTCTACAAGACCCAAAAAGGCCTTCAATTGTGAAGGTTCTGTTGGCTCTGGAAAGTTGAGGACTGCGTCTATCTTCGACGGAAGGGGTGCTATGCCTTCTGCAGACAAACGATGACCCAAAAAAGAAAGTTCATGAACATTAAAAACAGCTTTTCGATTTAATTTCATTCCTGCCTGAGCGATTCTTTTGAGTACGTCTCGCAGGTTATCATCGTGCTCCTGTTGGGTTGACCCATATACAATGACATCATCTAGATAGAACTGGACGCCTGGACAGCCTTTGAGAATTTTGGACATTACTTGTTGGAAAGCCGCAGGGGCGGAAGCTAATCCAAAACAAACACGTTTAAAACGGAAAAGCCCCTCATGGGTCACGAAAGCGGTGAGGTCGCGACTATTAGGGTCGAGGCGGACCTGATGGTAGGCGGATGCTAAATCCAATTTTGAAAAATGTGATGCTCCTCGAAGCGAGTTTAACAACTCGTCGATATGTGGGAGTGGAAAAGAGTCAACGACGATAGCTCGATTCGGCGCTCTCAAATCAACACACATCCGGATTCCGCCGTCTTTCTTTTTTACTACGACGATAGGTGAAACCCACTCCGAGGCATTAACGCGCTCGATGACGCCTTGTCGCTCAAGTTTCAGAATCTCTGCTGTGACCGCATCACGCAGAGTAAGCGGTAAACGACGGAGCTTTGACTGTACGGGTGGAACATGGTGCCGTACAGTAACGGTATGAGTGTGATTTTTAACCAGTCCCAGCTCAGAACTGAAAAGATCTTCAAATTCTTCGAAACCAGGTGGCAGTTTGGAGAAATCACTCACCGAAGAAGACTTTGATTTCTGTTCTGAAGTATCAGAAGAAGGAGCACTTGAAGATGATGGGAAATGGTCGCTAGCGGAACCAGAAGGACTTGAAGTCTTGTAAAATGATGGTGTGAGTGGACTACTTGGAGCATCAGATGAGCTCGGAACTTGTGATGTTGAACCCGCGGTGCGCGGTGACTGCGGGATGTCAGCCGATTTCACATGTCCGTGGTCGGCCGATCGGGAGTCAGCTGCATTAATATAAAAACATTTCAGCTGTACCCCTGACAAAATAAGCTTGAGATCACGGACGGCGTCTGTGCCGAGCAGAGAACGTCCCTTGCTCACAACGTAGAAGAGGATGGTCGCGAAGCGATTGTTGAAAGCGACATTTGCATGAAAACAGCCTAAGACTGGGATGGATCCCTGAAGGTAATGCACCAAAGTGCGCGGTGGTTTCATTAATTGAATTCGACAATTCCTGGTAATTCTTTGGAAGGTGGGTTCAGAGATGATAGAAACTTCCGATCCAGTGTCAATTAACAAAGACATCGGGATGCCGTTTACCTGTACATCGGCAATGAAGTTTTGTCGTCGTCGGCTGGCTGGCTGCGGCGACTCATCGTAAGACCCAACAGTGTACACGCTGGGTCGTAGGTCGTCGTCGTCGTCGTCTGGGAACGTCACGATGCCATGGATGGGAGTGCTGGCATGACCAGCTCCGGAACGCTGGTACCGGCGCCCGAAGGATTGGCCACGTCCAGTCGGCAAGGCTAGTTGACGTCGATCGCTGCCGACGGGTGGAGGCGGGTAACTCCGGCAGACGTTAGCGAAATGCCCGGACTTGCCACACGAGAAACACGTTGCCCGCGAAGCAGGGCACATCTCTCGGGGATGGGGCCGACGGCCACAAAATTGACATGGCACTTCGTCACGCGGAAAAGTGTGTGCTCCCGGAGGTGCATCACGCGCCGAACGACGGTCCGAGGTACGGGTCAGTACCCGAGATTGGTGAAAAGGTGAGTAGGAAACGCCTACAGCATGCCGAACCCCGCCATCTTGACTAGGGTTAGCGACGAACTGCTGTGGAGAGCGGCCATTTTGACAGGGCGGAGCGACAACCCGATCAACGGAGGAGGACAACTGTGATGTGCCAGAACGCGAACCGGCTCCTAATCGATGGTACATATCGCAGTCTCGAGATGTCTGCTCGAACTGTTGTGCAAGGGAGACAGCACGTTCGAGGCTCGGTGCGGCAGCCCCCACAGACTCTCGGATCAACCGATCCTGTACCTCCGATGATCTAAGTCCCGTCAAAAACATCTCCGCGATTCGATCGTCAAGAGAGTCACCATAGTCGCAAAACGATCCGAGGTGCCGGAGCGCTCCAAGGAAATCCAGTACGCTTTCGCCGGGCGCCTGGACACGACTGTGAAACTTTTTCCGCTCAAGGACCACGTTCGTACCAGCAGCGAAATAACCGTCAAGAGCCGTTAATAAAACGTCAAACTCTGTTACGTTCTCGTTCACGGCGGGTCCTGCCATGTTAAATGTAGCTACTATTCGCTGGCCCTCCTGGCCAAGCAAGCTTATAAGTAAGGCACGTTTGCGCTTAGCCGAATACTGATCCGCTTCAATAACATCGAGGTAATTCATAAAACTCGATTTCCATGTCTTCCAAGGCTGTATGGGGGTGCCTGGCGTTGGCAAAAATGGCGGGGGAGCTGAGAATGGAACAGCCGCCATGTTGGGACAGGCTCGAACGTTGAGCACGAAGTAAACTTAGCGATAAATGGATTAGTGTACTTGCCAGTGTCGGCCACCACCCATCCGCGGCGCGGAGTTCGTTAACAAAATCCCATCCTCGTCGCCAAAATGTAGTATTTCTGATCAAGCGGCGGCCAGGGGCCCGTCGTTGAAGCTCAAAGAAGGAATGACAACCGCCGGCTGCTGGTCATGGTCTCTGAGTCTCGAGCACCCCGAGCGCGGGTGCCCGGCCCTGTTTATTTCACGCGCGGCATCGGCTTCTTTTTCAGTGTCGGCATTATGGACTATATACAAATACTACACCTTCCACCAGACATCGCCACCGAGGTGGCGATGTCTGGTGGAAGGCAACCAGCCACGGATGCTTACGCCACCCTCAAGCGGCAGCTGATCCGCCGCACAACAGCTCCCGAGGAAAGACGGTTACAACAATTCCTGACCACTGAGGAACTTGGTGACCGCCGACCTACCCAGTTCTTGCGCCGCATGCAGCAGCTGATGGGTGAGAAGGCACCTACAATCGACGCTTCGTTCCTGCGGAACCTGTTCGTCCAGCGTCTGCCCCACAACGTGCGCATGATCTTGGCGTCCGTTGGAGACCTCGGGATTGCACAGCTGGCAGAGCTCGCCGACAAGCTGATGGAGATTTCGACTCCGGTTGTATCGGCCGTCCAAACTCCTACGGACGAGATACAACAGCTCCGCGCGGAGATCTCCCGCTTGACGACCGCCGTCGCGACCCTGCAGCAACATCGCGGACGCAGCCAGTCGCGGTCCCAACGACGCCGCCCATCTTCTTCACCAGCACGAACCGACATCTTTTGGTACCACCGCCGCTTCGGCGATAATGCCACTAAGTGCACCACACCCTGCCACTACACGGGCGGCAAGTGCCTCAGCCACTCCGGACAGCCGCCAACGCCTCTTTTACGTCCCCGACCGCGACACCGGGCTCCGCTTCCTCGTGGATACCGGTGGCGAGGTCAGCATACAACCGGCAACACCTAAAGACAAGCGGATGTCCAGCACCTTGCAGCTCCAAGCTGTGAACGGGACGCCAATTCCCACCTACGGTGAGCGTTCGCTAACCTTGAATCTCGGTCTCCGACGGACCTTCCGCTGGGTGTTCGTCGTCGCGGACGTGCAACATGCCATCATTGGTGCGGACTTCCTCCAACACTTCGGACTTTTGGTGGAAATAGGACGAAGGCGTCTCCTCGACGCGATAACTAACCTCTCCGTGTCGGGCGTATCCGCAGTGCCTTCTCCAGCTCCGGCGCATGTCATTCCTAACGCCCCAACACAATTCACAACCATCTAGCGCGAGTTCCCGGAGTTGACGCGCACTGGCTGTGACGACCGCCCTGTGCAGCACAGGGTTTCTCACCACATTGAAACCACCGGAGCACCCGTCCATGCTCGACCGCGTCGTCTCGCCCCTGACAAGCTGCGAATTACTCAACAGGAATTCCAGCACATGCTTGAATTGCGACCGTCGTCGAGCTCATGGGCCTCACCACTGCACACGGTACAAAAGAAAACAGCCGGAGACTGGAGAACACGCGGCGACTAACGCGCATTAAACCGCGTCACTGCTCCCGACTGTTATCCGATCCCCCACATCCAAGACAACATCCAGCCTCGACGGAGCATGCATCTTTTCAAAGATTAATTTAGTGCGCGCTTATCACCAAATCCCCGTCGCCCCGGACGACGTGCCGAAGACCGCGATCATCACGCCATTCGGACTATACGAATTCGTCCGGATGCCGTTCGGTCTTCGGAACGCCGCCCAAACCTTTCAGAGGTTCATTGACAAAGTACTCCGGGTACTGACCTTCTGCCGTGCCAGCTCCTCACCCGCCGAGCACGAACAACACCTCCAAGCTGTGTTCGAGCGTCCCAAGAGCTACGGCATCATCATCAACACCGCCAAGTGTCAGTTCGGTGTAGGTGAGCTGGAGTTCTTGGGACACCGCATTGACCATCAAGGCATCCGTCCACTTCCCGCGAAGGTTGAGGTGATCCGGAACTTCCCTCGACCGTCAACACGACGCCAACTGCGGGAGTTAATCGGAATCGTCAATTTTTATCGCCGTTTTGTCCCCCACTGCGCAACAACCCTCCAAGCGCTGCAAGAATTACTCAAAAAGAGCCACGGCGAGGCAGCCGCTTTGACCTGGGATGCAACAGCGGAGCGCATATTCACCAAAATCAAGGCAGACATCGCCGACGCAACCCTTTGGTGTACCCCGCGGACAACGTTCCCTTGTGCGTCATGACGGATGCTTCGGAAGTTGCGATTGGAGCGGTCCTTCAGCAATGGCAAAACGACATCTGGAAGCCCATCTCCTTTCTCCCCAAGACACTGTCACCCACCGAGCGCAGATACAGCACCTTCGGACGAGAGCTTCTCGCCGCATATCTGACGCTTCGCCACTTTCGCCATCTCTTGGAGGGAAGAAGCTTCTTCATTCTCACTGACCACAAGCCACTGACCTTCGGAATACGATCGCTGAAGTCGGATAGCCAAGCCCACACAACTCGTGAGCTTCGCCAAATGTCGTACATCTCGGAATTCACGACGGACGTGCGACACGTGAGCGGCCGCGACAACCCGGTGGCGGATGCCTTGTCACGCCTCTGCATCGGCGCCGCTGAACGCCCAGTGCTGGACTTCGCTGCCCTTGCTGCTGCTCAGAAAACAGACCCCGAGCTCGCCCAACTGCACACAGCTACGCACTCGATGGAGCTGCGCGAGGTACCACTGCCCATGCATGACGCAACTCTGTGGTGCGACATGTCGACGGGAGCGCCTCGTCCCTTTCTTCCCGCACACTTCCGTCAACTGGTGTTCGAGAAACTGCACTCGCTATCGCACCCGGGCATACGGGGAACACAGCATCTCGTCACTACACGCTTCATTTGGCCCGGCATGAATCGCCATGTTCGTCAGTGGGCTCGAGAGTGCATATCCTGTCAGCGAGCTAAGGTCCAGCGACATACCATCACGCCCCTCTCCACCTTCACGACTCCTGATGCAAGGTTCGACCAGGTCCACGCTGACATTGTCGGACCGTTACCACCATCACAAGGCCAGCGGTACTTCCTCAATTGCATTGATAGATTCACACGCTGGCCGGAAGCTATTCCCATCTCGGACATTACTGTCGAAACCGTCGCTCGCGCTTTTGTGTCAATTTGAATTTCACGTTTCGGAGTACCGTCCATCATCACGACCGATCGCGGACGCCAGTTTGAATCGTCACTCTTCACTCAAATGACGCGCCTGCTCGGATCAAAGCATGTGAAAACAACCGCCTATCATCCGA